CGCATCCGTGAATACTGGGATGTGAGAGGACACCTTTCCTATCGGGACTCCGTGCGTGAGAACGCGCGAGTTTCTCCAATAGTTTAGGTCTGCACTGAGCGAGAGGGGAACCACCACCAACCGATGACGTTGACGCAATGGGTCTAGTCTTAGTTGGGCGAACCATCGCTGCGTCCTGCGCATGTGCAGGAGTCCCAGCGGAACCACAGAGTGGGCTGACGACATGAGACCCAAAAGTGACATGATCGACAGCGCCGTCACCGTGTGATTCGGACGACACTTCCTTAGGGCTAGCAACAAGGCTACCCTTCGGGGGTCCGAAATTCGAGCCCTCATCCTCACAGTGTCTAGCTGTATCCCCAGGTAGACAATCTGATGAGTGGGCCAGGGCGCGCTCTTTTTTCAATTCACAGCGAACCCCAGACTTGTGAGATGCATCACTGTCTGTGTTGTGTGAGTGATCGCCAGCTCTGCTGACGGGGCGAGAACCAGTAGGTCGTCCAGGTAGGCTAGTAGCCGTATTCCCTGACGACGCAACAGTTCCAATGCTGCCTCCACACACTTGGAAAATGTGCGAGGTGCCAGGGCGTACCCAAATGGCATCCTCGTGTATTCGTACGCCACCCCTTGAAAGGCGAACCGCAGAAACTTCCTGTGACGCGGCTGAACCGGCACATGAAAGTACGCGTCCTTTAGGTCTATGCTCGTACAAAAGTCCCCTCTCTGGACACATTCCAGCAGACGTTTTGTCGTTAGCTCTCGTTGAGAATGCGTGAATCCAAAATCGGCCTCACTCCCCCCGTCTTTTTGGGCACTAGGAAATAAGGCGAATATAGCCCTTTGTTCCTTTGCTCCCGGGGAACTACTGTCACCGCCTCCTTCGCCAAAAGTTCCGTAATCTCTGTCATCAGAGCGGCCACTTTGTCTGGCGTTTTCATCACCGTCTCCACCACTCCCCTGAACGGGGGTGGGGTCCGGTGGAATTGGAGAGCATAACCCTTCTGCAACGTCTGTTCTAGCCAGCGTGAGAGGGTGCAGCTTCTTCGCCACTGCCAGCAATGCAGAGAAAGTGGCTGGGCGCGAAGCTGTGGTGCATCCAGTAGGAAGGACCTGTATTCCTCTATGGCCCTTACCGCCACTGTTCCCCAACATTGAAGTGGTGGAACAGCCCAAGGTGGGCCTCCCGTGAAAGGGAGAGGAAATGCGTTCTGAGAAAGAAAGAGGAGTAGGGACGTCGGTTAAACCCGTAACCGTCGTATTCCTGCCCTCCTTGAACGCATCGTGGGTCTGAATTGCGCTGACCGAGGCCACAGCCTGCGGCAGGGCACCATCCCCAGCAAGCGATTGCGTCATCTTAGGTGACTGCAATTCGCTATCAGAGCCCTTCACTACAGTACTCCTAGAAGTCTGTAGTATGAGGTCTCTATGAGGTAAAACAAGGCGGCGCCTTGATACCTTCTTAACTTTCACCTTCTGTGTGTGTTCAACTCTGCACCCCTGGTGGGTTGATTCACGCTCAGTGTGGTGAGTACTGGCTCGTTCTGTCAGGGGAGCTGATACTTTGGTTATACCCATAACGCTAGTAATCCTGCCCTCCGTGAACGTAGCATGGGTCTGAATCGCATTAACCGAGACCTTGGTCTGCGATAATGCGCAGTCCCCAGATAGCTGCTGTGTTACAATGCCTGGGGGCGCCGATACTCTGGGCACCTTGGTGACTGCGGTAATCGGGCCCTCCGTGAACGCAGCATGGGTCTGGCTCGTACTAGTGGAGACCTTAGTCTGTACTAGTGCGCCATCCCCAAATAGCGGCTGCGTCCTCATGTCAGAATCTGACCGGGACTGCTGCCTTCTATGTAAAGCACTTCTTATACGTGAAGTGTGATGTGACGACCTGATTGAGGTCTTCTGGATACCTACTCTTAGTGCCTGTTCAGCAACGCACCCTCGGTGGGCTGAACGGCTCTTAGAGTGGTAAGGAAGAGAGGGTGAGATTTGAACGCTCTCGGACGTATTATGGAAAAGAGGCTCTTTTTTGACAAAGTCAGGTGGAGCCAACTCTTTATTAAACACATCAACAAAAGCATTTACATCAGCACCCGTCCCTTCAACCGAAGGGTGGGGGGGAACAGTGGGCACGTTCGACACCATTGATGCGTCCTCCATCCTCTCCCCCGCGTCCCGTCACGTACGCCTCCTCTTGCCTCCCTTGGAGGGCCAGGTCGGCGTCCTCGTCACCTCCCTCGCCGGCTGTAGTGGGGCTACCGTAGCTGCTGGGAGGGCCGAGCCCGCTCCCTTGCTGCTCGTGGCCGCCGGATGACGCCGATTACGCCGCCTCGTCGTAGACCCCGGTCTACTTAGAGGGGCGGAGGTAGATGGCCTTTGGGGAGGAGGGGGGCCGAGTCATCCTGCCAACGGCAGGTGCTTGGCCAACTGCTTCTTCTCCTCCTCCAACTTTGAAAAACGCTCCGTCGCCTCTGACTGCGACCCCAAAGAGGCCGTCGTCAGAGAGGGGGGCATTCAAGAGAGATGTCCTGTCTGCCTCTTTCATGGAAGTCAAAGACAACCAGAGGTGTCGTTCCCCGACCACCGAAGTGGCCATGGATCTCCCCGCGCAGACTGCGGACGCCTGTGTAAGGTGGAGTATGGCGCCAGAAATTCTGGACGCCTCCTCCACCTCCTCCGGTGCCATCTCGGTCTTACCCGTGGTTAAACGGGACAGAGAGGCCGCCAAGAGGGCAATGTTGTTAGCTGCTGCTACAGCTTGGGCTCCCAACCCAAAAGACTTATCTAACAGCGACGCTGTGAGTCGGTCCTTCTGGGATGGCAACGTGGCCTTCTTGGAAGAGGGCCAAGGGCTCGAACCCGGTACGAGATACGCCGCCATGGCGCTCTCTAACCTGGGGATTCCCTGACCCTGAAGCCTTCCTTCCACTCTCGTGAATGGGAGATACGCTTTTACAGGCGAACGTGCCGCTAAAGGTGCCTCCCACGAGCCTCCAACGTACCTAGCCAAAGAAGGCATGGCAGGAGCCACTGGCTCTGCCGCCTTCCTTGGCCTGGAATAAGGACCGCCCTCCATCATATCAACCTCCGGTGCGGAGGGAAGAGGGGGCAGCTTTATTGCCAGCCGTTGAGCAGCGCTCTCAATGAGACCCGGAAAATCCGCTCTCAGAGAGGCTGCAGCGAAAGAGAGAGCTTCTGAACTCTCAGAGCTCGTATCCCCTTCGCTATAGGGACTACAAGCCCTCTCGCTCTCCAAAGGAAAGGGGGGCTTGAAAGTATGAGGGACGGGGTCCGACTGTTCCATTGGAATGCCAGACCCTTCCTCAAAATCCCTATCTTCCCCCGAGTCTGCGCCGTCGGACGACGCCTCTGAAGCAGAGGCTAGTATCGACAACACATCCTCAAGGGGGATGTCCTCCCTGAAAAACGCCCAACGCTGCTTCCTCTCCTTTAAAGAAAGGAGGGCGCAGGAGGCGCAATTCGGGGGACTGCAGACGCCTTCCTTGGCATGCTGGGATCCCAAACACACGAAACATAAGTCGTGGTGGTCACCAGCCGCCATGGAAGCGCATCTGCACTGAGCTCTGAAAAGAGCTTTTGGGGGTAGAAAATCTCCCGGTGTGCTCATTTAGACGACGTTGATGACTGGAATATCAACGGCGTTTTCGTCCTGAGTCTTCGTGCTTCGTCTCTTCTTGGCTCTTCAGTCTAGTCATCCAGTCGCTGAAGAAAAAGGGAGGCTGATTGAGGGGAGGCACCCCCTCTTATAGGGACACCTGTACTCCTATTGGCTGTAGGTGTGTGCATAATTTTGTCTCAGGCTGCTGCTGCCTTAGGGCAGAGGGTAAACCATTAGGAGCAGAGCTCCACGATATAGAACCAAAGTGCTGGAGTACAGAACCAAAACAAAAACAAAAAATGTCACTGTCCCAATACTTTTGGAGCTCACATGACTCACTACCATTGCAAAGGTGAGACACAAATAGGAAATAAGACAGCTGCTGTGAGGGACTTTATTCACAATATTGCAAGAAAAGTACTGTATGTCCTATATCAAACCAAACACTTGAGTTATGTGATGTGATGTGAGGTGACTTACAGCCACCCCAGTCCCCCAGCCAAGACTGGGTTCACGATCAAACCTCGCACACAGGCACCAGAAGTAGAGAACTAAACAATAACAGAAGATTCCAAACCACATTCAAATATGCCAAAAGTTTGCATTCACTTTTTTCTCCTTTTGCCAAGCTAATCGCTAATCAATTATTTACAAGTACAGTAAGGTCAGACCCTTGTTTATAAACAAGTGCATAAAAAAAAAAATAAAAAACCAAATTGTGTCAAAAAGAAATGCAGAGAAAAGTAACCTAAATTGTTAATTCCTCTGTTCGGTCACAGCCTAGGCAGCAGTATATACTAATAATTAATTGTTGGCCCATTCTCTGTACAAGCAATACATCCTATTGACACTTGATAATCGGGGAGGACAGTTTCTTTTTCAAACCCCTCTAAAAATGGATTGGACCGGGATCGTTACGCTACAGTACAATTTGAGGTTTTATGAGAAAACACTTGGAATGACAAATTCTTAGGGAAGTAAATAAAATTCAAATAAAACTGAGTAAGAAATAAAAACCTTGCCGAAATATAATGAGCAATCCTTGATAAATGTGACCTGTACTAGTGGCAAGTGCTTAAAATAACATTTTAGGGCAATTATTTATGCCCACAATGGTTTTGTGTTTATGACATCTGTTCCTTCATGTTTGCCTAGAATAAGCATAGACGAGATCTCTTCGACTCACCAAAACCAAACCATTTTGGTATTGTTTAAGTTTGAAATTGAAAAAAGGAACCTAATGGTAAAGATAAAGGATAACAAAAACAAGGAAACAGCGAGAAAGATAGGGGTGGGGAGGACATCAGAGGGCCAGAAGTGGCTTGCGGAGGCCTTTGGGTAGAGGCAGCAGACGTGGCTCTCCCTTCGGGGCCCGTCAGTCCTGCTTGGTGCCTCCCAGGGCCCGTAGGCGCTCCAGAAGGGGAGGGTGGGAGTAGTGCCACATGGAGAAGAGCCAGTCGGCCACAGGGAAGCCCAGGTTGTCTTTGTTGAGCTTGATGAGGGCGGAGTAGAGCTCTGAGGCTCGGCCCATGCCCCGTGCAAAGGCATCCGCCTGGAACTCAAACCTGCGGCTCAGGACCGTCAGACAGAAGGACAGGACCTGGAGGTAAGAAGGGGAAACAATTTCAGTTTTCCTCAGTGAAGTGTCAGAGGTACTCTTAGCATCCCGTCCTCATTTTAACAACCTTTTCTGTTTAAAGCCGACTTAAAGGAGACCACCTGCTCGGATTCTCTGCACATATCAGAACAGCTGATTCCAGACTCTTATTATACTGCTAAACGTATACACTTCACCCCCCATCCCCAAAACACGTGTAAATATTGTACTATAAATAGTGCCTTCCTGTATTATACTTATACTCAAACATTTTTTCCTATTCTACTGCCATTTACTTTAAGTTCGTATTCTTCTTTATTTACTATTTCTTTTTGTTGTTGCATTGTCGAGAAGGAACCTGCAAGTAAGCATTTTGTTGGACGTTGTATACCATGTACATACAGTACAACTAATAAAACTTCAACTTTGCTTTTTTACAACCAAATCTCAATTTTTTATGTAAATGTCATGTTTTTTTATAAACTTACCCCAACCAGCGGTTCACTTCCTCATCCTTGTTGTGCAGTACGGGACTCAGAAAGAGCATGAACAAATGCTCCAAAACCATCAAAATTAGTCCTTTTAGAAATGGAAACGCTCTCAGTACAGTGATGCAGGTCTTTAGTTGTTGTACACATGAAATTGTGTCATTCCAAACTTTATCCATAACGTTATACTAATTTTTTGCCACTCCAGCGGTTTCCCCTATCCAGCTGTTCCATTCTCTGTATAGCCTGCTGCTAGAATGGATGGAGAGGTATCGCTCGTGTCGCAAACAAAATGGAATATAACGGTGCGGATAACGTTTGGAATGACAATTTAATGTGTACAACATCTAAAGACCTGCATCACTATACTGAGCGCTTTTCCATTTCGAAAAGGTAGTGCTGAGCGATTAACCGAAATGTGTTATTTTCATTGGTTCAATTATTTGAATACCCGAACTGTGCGATGTAGTAGGGTGTTGTAGTTTCCAACAGACCATATTCAACATAGTTTAGCGCAGAAAAATGTGGTAATTAACTACAATGACCATAATCCATTGCGCACCTACTTGTCCGGTCTGTGTTTCTTTTACGCCTGCTACGTAAGAATATGCGATTGAGAGGGATAGAGAGCAGTTGGTTCGCGAGGTCTCTCTACCTGAAAGTACATGATCTAAGTGATTGAGAGTTGGTAATCAGCCGTCATAAAAGTATGCCTTACTTACTTTGAACTACTAAAATTGTGATTTTGTTAGACAGCATTGCCAGCAGCTCTATAGAGATAAGATGACTAAGAAATGTAATATACACAACTGAAATATTTTATTAAAGTAAAGTAATGTGAATAAAGGATGGTTAATAAGTGATAAGCAGTAAATGGGCAGTCACTACCATCATGGGACTTTTATTAATTGTTTTATCTGTGTTGTTACAGCATTCAACCCACACAGTGCATAGTGCATGAACCGAAAACAGCAATTCTTTTTTAAATAATCAAACCGAAACGATCTCAAAAAGCACTCGGCATTACTAAAAGGACGTATTTGTGTGTTTTTGCGGCATTTGTAAAACAAAAATAATAATCTGAGCCTTCCTTACTGCACAACGAGGATGAGGAAGTGAATCGCTTGTTCTCAAAAACAACAGAAATCGCTAAAAAGTGTCTCCATCAAAAATAGATTTGGTTGTACATAAAACATTTAATTGTTTTATCCTTTAATAGATACTCTATATTGTAGCTTTAGCTGTATATTTCTTTTGATAATATTTACTACTGTGCCCAAGGTATTTTCGCAACAAACTCTGCACAACACGTGCAGTGCCAACAGCTAAGGCCTACATAAAAGTGTATTAAGATGTTAGATATAAATGCATTGTTTAGGCGATGGAGTCACTCACCTCATTATATGGGGAGAAGATGAACTGGAATATGATCATCAACCCAATCAACGTGGGCTGGCTGTCATAGAAACCAAAGGCCATGAACAGCTCCTTCCGTCCAATTAACACAGCAAAGAGGAAAAAGCACAAGAAGGAGTTCATCTGCAAGGACAGAGGCAGGGGAGATTTTTTTTTAACCATAACATAGGTTTCCATCCAATTGGCGACAGATTTTCATGCGAAAATATTCTACAAATCTGCATAAAGAGAATATCACACTCTCACCAGTGGTGTTTTTCCACCAATTATTATTATTTTTTATTTTATTTAACCTTTATTTAACCAGGTAGGCCAGTTGAGAACAAGTTCTCATTTACAACTGCGACCTGGCCAAGATAAAGCAAAGCAGTGCGATAAAAACAACAACACAGAGTTACATATGGGGTAAAACAAAACAAAGTCAAAAATACAACAGAAAATATATATAGTGTGTGCAAATGTAGTAAGTTATGGAGGTAAGGCAATAAATAGGCCATAGTGCAAAATAATTACGTATGTAGTATTAACACTGGAGTGATAGATGTGCAAATAGAGATACTGTGGTGCAAATGAGCAAAATAAATAACAATATGGGGATGAGGTAGTTGGATGGGCTAATTACAGATGGGCTGTGTACAGGTGCAGTGATCGGAAAGCTGCTCTGACAACTGATGCTTAAAGTTAGCGAGGGAGATAAGAGTCTCCAGCTTCAGAGAATTTTGCAGTTCGTTCCAGTCATTGGCAGCAGAGAACTGGAAGGAATGGCGGCCAAAGGAGGTGTTGGCTTTGGGGATGACCAGTGAGATATACCTGCTGGAGCGTATGCTACGGGTGGGTGTTGCTATGGTGACCAATGAGCTAAGATAAGGCGGGGATTTGCCTAGCAGAGATTTATAGATGATGGACTTGTTGCGGATGGACTTGTAGTGCATACAAAATGTAATTTTTCGCTTAAGTTGTTATGTACCTAATAAAAATCTAAAGTTGAATGCGTGTCCATCGCATTTTCAAGTCTACTGATAGTTGTCACAAAAACTGTTGCGTTATATAGCAAATGTGCCTACTCTGGGTTTACTTTCACTACAATTTATTTAATCTGTAGCCTAATAAACTGCATGGTTTCCCGAGTCATAGCGTGACTCCAAGTTTACTTTGTTATGGTTATTATATCATTATTTGCGCATAAAAACGTTTTCACCACCACTTCTCGCATCATTGATTTTACCGACACAAAAATATCCCACCATGTCGAACGAACACATTATCTGTCGGCATTTATAAAACTGTACCAAAACTTCCTGTTTCCAACACAGCTGTCGGGATTTCTTTTTATTTTTTTACAGTATGACTTTACTCGCATAAAAACTGTGGATGGAAACATGGTTATTGACATTTCTACATCAACATGTGAATTTACAGGACCTGCTAGAGAGTGGCCTATGACATGCAAACACATATCAAGGGAATTCCCAAACAAACCTGACTGATGACAATGTTCTTCACAGTGTGGCCCAACTTCCAGTGGCCCAGCTCGTGGCCCAACACGGCCAAGACCTCTGGGTTGTTGCAGCCTTGCTTCTTGTTCTGAAAAGAGTTAGAACATCAATGGCTTGATTTTAAGGAATGATGTATGAAACACTGACTACAAATACTAGTACACCATCTTATAGGTTTCTATGATAGGACCACCTCAACAAATTAGATTCATAACATGAAAGTTGAAGTGTGCTTGCAGCGCTCTAACCAAGATTCCAAAAATATTCTGTCACGCTGAAGGCGTGCTCTGTAATACTGGACTGCTTTGAAGAAGAAGCTTGCTTCGAAATGCTTCAGCAATAAATATAATTGAAGGAAATCAAGTTGCTGTCCTGAACCTTCTTTCAGTATTTTAGATGAATAACATGTTGACACAGTTCTCTGTGTAAAGGAGAATGTCTGACCTTGGGCTTGGCTTTGGCCTCGGTTGGTGTGTCAGTCTCCTCTGCTGGCACAGTCTCTGGCTCTCCATCCTTGTTGAGGGGGGAGTAGTCCTCCATCAGGGTGTCGAACAACACTATGCGCTTGTTCTTGAAGAACCCATAGAAGTAAGCGTTACTGTGGGAGGAGCGCTTGGAACCTGGAAGAGTAGGTCAAAACAGATTAGGGCTGTCAGAGTAATAAATCAGTTAACCTTTTGAAATTTTAGTGCACAAAATCTTTTTTTTTCATCGTGATTAATCGCATTGTCTGAAAACATCCCAAATACATAATCTATAAAGCTAAAAACAATGCAATGTAAAAACAAGTTGATATTGAGGTTAAAGAAAGTGTGCTTTCTCAATTTACCTAACCGTTACTTTAGACAAATCAAGATGTCAATATTCTTGTAATGTTTTTTGTATGAAAAATCGTAGATTACAGCTTAATTTGAGCAAATTCGATTACATTGTTTTAGTGCTTGACAGCCCTAATTACAATACAACTTTATGTCCATATATGTTAGAGCGAAAATGTCTCCTCAGCGCCCATTATAACTTGGTCTCCTCTGATGATAAACAATTATAGATACAGTGGAAGCTGTCACATCTTTTGGACAAAACTAGTTGTTGAGTTCATGCATTGTGCCTTACCTTCTACTACATAGACCTTAGTGAGGGGGAAACTGATAGACTTGGACATGCTCTCAATCTCTTCCTTCAGCTCGCCCTCTGGCAAAGGGGTGAACTTGTCAAATAGGGGAGCAATGTAGTCAGCATAGATGGTCACCAGCACCTAAGAGAGGAAGAATGATCAGAATGAAATACATTAGACTAACTTGACTATAGCTTAACTCATTAAGCATCATTTAACCGCTTGAGCCTATAATACAACTGCTTTTTCAAGGTAGCCGCCACACCGGCGGTCACGAGTCATGACAGCAGTCAAATTCCACTTGACCGTTTAGTCACGGTAACTTGGTTTCTCCAAGCTCTGATGCTGCTGATGGTCATTAGGAGCCTACCAAACTTGCTAACTGCCTGGTACTCAGCACTCTATTGTCCCTCTAATCACTCTGACATCAATGCAAATGTTTTTGAAAATCAAATCAAACACTTAGTGAGAGCCCATGAGCTCTTGTTGCGCAACATTTCTATAGGCTATGCAATTGCATGAGAAAACATAGTTTTGATGGCCTCTATTAAAAAGAGGATCCCATTAGCTTTCTATAGGCTAGGCCTACTATATTTATGTATCAACTTTCCTAATATTAAGCACATTGATTCGCTTTACAACAGGAGTATAACCTACCTGGCTGCCATGAAAATGAACCACGGGAAAAGCGTCCTCCATTCGCTATTTAAGTGCAATAGATTTCATGTATTTTATTTCCCCCATGCACCTGTTCCGAGACAGGTGCATGATAATGGTCAATTCTAAATCCAAACTAATTTCACAAATATATTATTTAGTATATGTAAAGACAACATTAAATTAAGAATAGTCTGATGGGTGACAATATTAGCCTATTACTTGTGAATGATATATTATCACTTGTGAATGATGCCCAGCGCGTGCAGTAAGGCAAGAAACAGCACATGCCTTTTTTTGGCAACTTTTTCAAATCAAAGTTGCACACATCATGTAGCCTAGCCCATATGTATCATAACTAAAGTGGCCAAATAACTTTTAAAATTAAGCACATGAATCCGCTTTACAACCGATGTAGAGGATAACTGGCATACATAGGCGGCACGTGAGTTTAAAGTTTGGGGAAGATCATTTTCACCATAAAAATGCACCTTTATAATAAAGCATTACATGCATAATCGCATTTACGGTCACCTTTGAGAACAGTGTTTTCCCGCTATTTGATTGCATTTTGGAACAGTCGCTGTGTGTGCATTGCTGTGAAGAAATAGTTGATCAAATAGTTTATCAACATTTTAAGCTAAACGTTCTGATCCAGTTGCATCAGCTTCATTGCTTTTTTAAGTTTTTTTTTTATGCGAGTGGATGTATTAATTTGGGATCTATAGCATCCCACAACTGTCCCAGAGTATGTTTGGAATATTTATTAGAATAGGTAAACTTTTGTATTATGGGGGATAGTAGATTGACATAGGCTAGTGCAGGGATCATCAACTAGATTCAGGCGCGGGCCGATTTGTACTTGAGTGGATGGTCGGGGGGCCGGAACATAATTACAAATAATTTGTAGACTGCAAATTGACCGCAAGAAGGCCAAACAGATATAATATTTGACTAAAACATAATTTCAAACCTTGCTTATATTTGTATATGATCGTGTGTCTCTATTATGGTGGAAATAATTTACATGGGAACAGATTTCCTAAATTAAAACCACTTGGAGCTGATTCCTGGTGTTTTGACTTTTTTTTTTTACGTCCAACAATGAAAATGCGCAGAAAACATGGGGGGCCAAATAAGGCCCACGGGCCGCCAATTGGGGAAACGTGGGCTAGTGCTTTTGCTGTTCGTTAAGCCTACTCAGCTTGTTGGCTGACGAAAAGTATGCTAAATGTGGACAGTTCTTCTAACATCTTCAATATGCGCCTCGGAATTCGATACGAATCTTCACTTGTAGCCTACTTCTTAGCTGAGATGTCTGTGAGAAGGACCCGATCACATGATGGGCATTGGCTAATAAGAATTGAGATATCTGAGAGAGCCATGTGAGTGAGAGGTGCTTCGGAGCACGGCAGCCGGGAGAAGGGAATTATAATTATTATAATCAGCCCAAGTGCACAACAAGTGGCCGCAAAAGGCATACATTTTTTAGGGGGCATTATGGTCACACAAGGGGGCCTCCGCCGGGAAATTCAAGGCCTGGTGAGAAAATGATCAAGTGCTTGTCAAATTGTGAATGAGAGACTGATGAAGTGTGTTCAGCCTGCACAAGAAACAAATCATAGCTCATGCCTTTCATGCAACTTTTCTGTTCTTCTGAAATAGACTACATTTTCTTCATATCATGTTTCTTTAGACCAGTCTAAAATAAATAATGGATTTATTGTGATGGTGTAGGCTATATTAAAATGGATTTAGACTTTTTTTAAATGTAGATGTTCCAAAGGTCTGCATCAGTGGCTTGTAGGCTATGCATGGAAGCCAGGAGATGCTAAACGTGTATATGTTAATTAACGGTCAATTACCGCGAGACCGGTAGTTATTTGCTTGACAATCACCAGCTGACAAAATGTAATGACCGCCACAGCCCTAGGTAAAATGACTAACCAGAGAGACCCCCAGGGTGAAGAGCCAGGCGTAGATGAAGAAGAAGTCTCCACCAATCTTGATGATGTAGAGGAGCAGTGAGGTCACTGGCAACAAGATACACTGGGTCACAATAAACTTCTTCACAGCATCCTTCAGGAAGAACCCCAGCGTCTGGAAGGAGAACCATAGATGCCAACAAAAAGCATAGAGACTGGGTGTTTAAAACCATGCCAGTGAAAAAGTGTAATTGATTCAAACTACGAAACGTCTGTCTGTATAATAAGGATGTCGACAGAGAGTTTGGACAATGTACCTGCTGGTTGAAGCCATGCTTCTCCTCAATGACAAAGGTGTTGTAGATACTCCAGGGAAGGCCAGTGAAGGCACTGAACAGAGTCGCAAGCATCAGAAACGAAAGAGACTGGAAGATCTAAAAGAAAAAGAACCATTGAAATATATGGAATGATTCAAGAAAATAAACATTTATAATACTGGACCGATAATTTTAACCGTGGAGCATGCACACACTTCATACTCTGGACCCAATCCAAAACGAGCAGTCACAGTCCCAGCAACTTTCCAAAGAAAAGGGATTCCACCAAGGAGCAGGATCAGCTATAAGACAACACAACAGTGTTAAAAACACACAAGTCCCTCTGTGTGGTGATACGCTCTGTAAGCAGATAAATAGGAGGCAGCTACGTTCTAATATAACAAAGTAGGTCCTAACAAACCAATGGATATTTTAGTTGTACCCACCGTCCCCTCAGTTTCTGAATACAGTCCAGACCAGAAACTGAAGTTGCTCTTGTCCAGTTGATAAAGACGTGACTTCTCAAAGGTGTCCGTGTCCATGATCTTCCCCAACTCTTGTGGCACGTGCATGGTCGACCTGTATATCCTCCGCTGTGTGGTTAGAAGACAACTTATCCATATTATTTTTCCATTCATATAGCTCATCCAAAAGGCAATTTCCATGTTACAGAATGACTCGTGGGGTCTCAAGTTGCAGTACAAAGATGAGATAGCCTCTACAAATCCAAGTGTGGATTGGACAAGCCTCCACTCCAGTCTCTAGCTTTTAGATAAAACAATTCCAAACAGTCCTTTACATGCCAGAATGTTGACTAAACTGCAATTGAACTTACTCTGCCAATTGTCAGTGTGGTTGGTCCTTCAGCTGGTCGAAATTTGAGAAATATCAACAGGAAAGTATTATTAAACCGACTCAAATTCGCAGGTCTCTGTGGCTATCACGATTTACTTGCTCATCAACGAAGGCACGTGCACAAGACAGAAGGAAGTACATGCAAGCAAATTCTTGCAGGCACTTAACTACAATATTTTGCTAATATAATAGGTGATAGATATTTGGCAGTACCGGCGCTCTAAAAAGTTGGGTAAATAATACTTTCCTGTGGATATTTTGTCTCAAATTTCAACCAGCTGAAGGACCAACTGCACAGACAACCCGTAGAGTAGCTAAATTCAAATGTAATTGTATTCATCATTCTGGCTAGCAGTGCTTTGTTTCAGACTGTATATCAACAATTGGTATCACAGTCTGATTTATTAGGCAATCCCGAAGACAGCTTCGTTCTTGGCAAAATATTGAGACTGGCAAACACAGATTTTCATGCGAATATTCCAAAAAACAACGAAAATATGCACATTTTCCCACCAGTAGTGTTTCCAACAAAATGACTTGTTGTGGATAAAAATCACTTCGTGTTGATTTTTTCGCTTACGTTTTCATATACCGAATAAAAATCTAAAGTTCAATGTGTTTCCATCGCATTTTCAACTCTACCGATAGTTGTGTCACAAAAACTGTGTTAAATAGCAAATGTGCCTACTTTGGTCTTGGCACATGCACTCTAGCCAACAGCTTGCAAATACAGTGCGGGCAGTCTAGTCTACATGATTAGATTATTATGGATAGCCTAAGAGCGAGAATATTTGTATTTGTCAAACGGAAGTCAAGCATCGATTATCATGTCACTAAAATAAGGCCCTAGATATTTATTGAAAAAGAGCATCAAGATCACCGTGCACTTTCACCACCCTGTGAAGTTCATAACTTATTTCATCTGTAGCCTAATAAACTGCATGCTTTCCCGAGTCGTAGTGGGAGGACCACACACCATATCATTGCGTGACTCCAAGTTATTTCGATATGGTTATGATATCAAAGTTATTTCGATATGGTTATGATATCAATATTTCCGCATAAAGGTGTTTCCACCTCTATTTCTCACATAATACATTTTAGACACAAAAAGACCCCACCATGTCGAAGAAACAAATGATCTGTCAGCAATTTAAAAATAGTACCGAAACTTCCCGTTTCCAGCACAGCTGGCCTGATTTTTTTTTATATGGTATGACTTTACTCATAAAAACTGTGGACAGAAACGTGGTTATTTAAACAATATAAATGAAACTGAGTCAGCAGGCTGCTATCTAGCTCTCGAAAACCCTTCTCAGTGTGTTGGGTTTTCAGCCATTACATTCGCCCACATTTGGCTCCTTGTAAACTACAACTCCGACACTGTAGTAGTTTTGCACAGATCCATACACTGTGTCTCCAGATGACAAACTACACTTCCTCCCCAGTTATCTTACACACAGCGGTGTTCAGAGCATGCTAGATAGCTAATTGGCAATGGTGGCGGCCTGTGTTCCACAATCAAGTGCTGTAACATGGAGATATGGCAGTGTGGGAACACTAACCCTAAAAAAAACCTAGTTAGTAATATACCTTTTTTTATTTATTTAAGTATTTATGGCTGATATCAAAGACACGTTCCTCATGTTTCCAAAACAGTTCCGAGCAAAGCAATGCGTGTTAATGTTTAGAACAAGCGTCGGGGCTCTTAACAAACATCCCCGGTCAGAAGGTACTATTGTCAAGAGGCGCTAAAGTAGTTAGCTAGTAGCGTCTATGAATGGGCAGCGGCTAGCTAGCCAGCTGTGAAATGCAGTAATGGTAGCCTTGTGCGGTATAGACAGAGAGACAGTTACAAAACAAAGTAAACAATTACCTGTCTGTACGCAAGGTAGGCCTCCCATAGATAAACCGTCCACGAGAACACCAGAACAGCATAAAATATCTTATTTTCAATTGGTAGGTCAAGTATCGTTTCCATCTTTATTCTGGCCTGTCTCTATTTGAAGTTACCAAGGTAGCTAGTTTGACTGCCGCCCGTTGTTCACACGCCTTCCGGTCTTTATTCAGAAGATAATACTTTTTATATTTAAATAACTTAGTTATGTTTATATACGCAGTTTAAATTGACTAGCATTCACCAAACCACTCAAAATGATGGCTAGCTCATTCGCTTCCAAATTCCATTCATTCATGCAATGGTATGCTCAGTGCAGCAGTTCATTTTGTTCCCCGTAAAACAAATGGTTGCAATAACTAGTTCCATGCTTATAGTGAGCAATAGTAATAGCAAAGATTTCTATAAGTAAACCAAGATAGACCACAGCCTGTCGTTTTAAATGTGAACAAAGAGTAAATGTGGGCAGAACAAGCAAGGAGGTTGGCAGAGCCAAGCACGAGCTAGTGAGATCATATTGGCTCGTTCTATAATATATTTGCATATTTGCGTTAGGGAACGCCTACTGTGTGCCCCTGTGCAATAACTAAATTCGCCCATTTTTAGATTTTACATTTTAGTCATTTAGCAGACGCTCTTATCCAGAGCGACTTACAGTTAGTGAATACATATATATATATTTTAAATACTGGCCCCTCGTGGGAATCGAACCCACAACCCTGGCGTTGCAAACGCCATGCTCTATCAACTGAGCTACATCCCTGCCGGCCATTCCCTCCCGTCTCCCGGTCGCGGCCGGCTGCGACAGAGCCTGGATTCGAACCAGGATCTCTAGTGGCACAGTTAGCACTGCGATGCAGTGCCTTAGACCACTGCGCCACTCAGGAGACCACTGCGCCCTTGCCACTGCGCCCTTGCACTCCTTCTAAACAAAACAATTTATTTTAAACTTTGGCAAAGGGTAAAATCGACCACTGCGCCCTTGCACTCCTTCTAAACAAAACAATTTATTTTAAACTTTGGCAAAGGGTAAAATCTACAAAACTTAGTCCACTCTGTTCCACTCATATTCTAGTTTTGGGAAAGGCAAACTGTACTGAGATCAAATGTTTCATCGATGAGAACATTTGCATAATGTTGGCCAAAATCAATCTCGCTCCATCTTCTCCCACTGCAGGCCACTGGGCTTCCTCTCATCACCATATGTGGTAGTGAGTAGAAACGCAAAACGGATGATTCACACTTATACATCTGGTGAAATATCTGCCACATTGTTCTATCTGTGCTACAAGTGTAGGTAGCTGCGTCCTGGACCAAGTATGTCTCGGAGTAGTGGGTGTGTCGAAAGGAGTGCGTGTGTCAAAAACACTCTGCTATAGGTTAGACGCTCTTGATTGAACGGTGTTGTCTATGCCATTAAAAGTGTTCCCATTTGTCAATTCCAGACCGTTCTCTACCTGATGTTGCAAAGACTTCTGACAAGAAGGGGGTAGCTGCAGCTCAATATGGCGACCAGAGTATGGGTGAGTGGGTGTGTCGAAGGGCAAGTAGTGGGCGTGTGGAAAGGAGTGGGTTTGTCGACAGCGCTCTGCTATAGGTTAGGGTTAGGTGGTTTTGATTGAGCGTTGGGTTTTTTTCTACCATTTCTTACCACGGAACTACACAACCATACCGCAAGTGTTTGGACTTCTGTTTTGAAGCCAGAGGATGAGTCTGAGTCATATTTCATTGTTAGTTTTACACAAATAATTGTACATTCTCAGTTATAAAACTGACAATTGTTTATTTTTTGACTAAAAAGTACTCATGATGGCTGGGTGTTGCTTCATGTGTTGTATGCGTGTGCTTATTGTGACTGTTACCAGGTAGATACAGTGGGGGGAAAAAGTATTTAGTCAGCCACCAATTGTGCAAGTTCTACCACTTAGAAAGATGAGAGAGGCCTGTAATTTTCATCATAGGTACACGCAGGGGCGGTGTGTTCATTAGGGCGATATGGGCGACGCACTGCCAAACGGGAAAAGGAAGGGATTTTTTTTCTAATCAATTATATCACGGCAACAGTAGTTATCAGTGTTCTAATCTAGACGTCTGATCTGCCACTAAATGTCCAATCAGGCTAAAGTCGTGCTTCAAATGGCCCCGCCCCTTTTGGGGCGATTTCAGTCAGGTTGAAAATCGCCCAGGGGTCTCTCATAGACTATCATGTAAAATCTTTTTTTTTCAAATATCAGAGCTTTCAATACAATCTCTATGGGTTTCTGAGGGCTTGCACTTACGCGCTTTCGTCATACGTAACATAACCATGAACGTAACTAAGAAAAGAGCGGGTAGCAGCGTCAATCAATTCACGTACTACTATCAACATGGCTAGCGTTCAGTGCAACTCGATTGTCTCTTTGAAAGAAGTTCACATCAAAGACTATTCAAAACGAGCTACTGGAGTGTATGCTAGCGGTCATGAGGGAACATATTGTGGAGGAGGTGAAGTCGGCGAACTTCGTAGCTATCCAAGCTGACGAGACCACGGACGTTTCTACACAGACACAGCTGGTGCTTGTGCTGAGGTACATAGATAGCAACCACAAAGTGCAGGAGCGCTTTTTTGAGTTCCTTCCCATCTCGGAATCAACCTCAGTCTCAATCGCCAGTGTGCTTTTGGAGAGACTGAACGGTCTTTTTGCCGACGACGTGAAAGTCAAACTGTGGTGCACTGGCACTGTACCAGGTTCTCATGAGCTACAACCTCCAGGAGACGTTCTCTGAGACTGTGACTCTGTTGAACATCCTCATAACTACTCCCATGACAACAGCTGAAGCTGAGAGATGTTTCTCAACTTTGACACGAGTTAAGACATTCCTGCGAAATTCAATGGGCCAGGAACGTCTGAATGCACTGGCCATGCTTTCCATGGAGAGGGAACTAGTCCTCAGCATGCCTGATTTCAATGAGAAAGTCATTGACCGCTTTGCTGCATTGAAAGAGAGAAGAGAACAGTTTCAGTACAAGTAATGTAGCCTCTCTCTCTCTTTGTCCCTCCCTGTCTGTCTCTTTAACACACACACGCCCAAATCAGTTCACAGTTGATGTTGTTTAAAATAGTTATTTTTCATTTTAAAAAAAGTAAAAAAATAATAATAATCTGTTCATGTTCATTTTTACAAATCTATACAATTGGCCAGAATATGGTTGTTCATATTTACAAATCTATACAATTGGCCAGAATATGGTTGTTCATTTTTACAAAGCCATACAGATAGCTGTGTTTACCTTTTCTAGAAATTATTTTCAAATTCTGTTTTCAGGCAAAATGTCTATCACTGTTCATTTTCACAAATCTATACAAGAGGGCAGAATATGGAAGTCTATAAAAATTTCTTATTACCAATAACTTGCATCAATGTTTTCAGTAGCCTCTATCAAAAGCTCCTGCTTGCTTGTTGTGAATTATGCTCATGTGCACATATTTCCAATTCAACCATGAGGCAAAAAATGTGGTAAAAGCTCTTGTTGATCCTGCAATCTGAACAAATACCAAGATGCTGTATTTTCAGCTGATATTTCATTTGTTTATGGAAATGCATATTGTTTATGCAGTGTTGAGGAATGTGAAAGAACACCCTTGATTATTTTTACTGTGATAACTTATTTTGCTTTTGTAAGCCAACACTTTTGAGATCAGTCAATAAATGCTTCTGGCATTGACTTATATGCTGCCCCTGTCTTCATGTTGTTGCTGGACATATCTTTTTTAAAATGTGTGTAGGTCACCTAAATCATCAGAAAAATTGCCCCCCCTGAGAATTTTTTCAGGAGCCGCCACTGGGTACACGTCAACTATGACAGACAAAATGAGGAAAAAAAATCCAGAAAATCAAATTGTAGGATTTTTAATGAATTTATTTGCAAATTATGGTGGAAAATAAGTATTTGGTCAATAACAAAAGTTTCTCAATACTTTGTTATATACCCTTTGTTGGCAATGACACAGGTCAAACGTTTTCTGTAAGTCTTCACAAGGTTTTCACACACTGTTGCTGGTATTTTGGCCCATTCCTCCATGCAGATCTCCTCTAGAGCAGTGATGTTTTGGGGCTGTCGCTGGGCAACACGGACTTTCAACTCCCTCCAAAGATTTTCTATGGGGTTGAGATCTGGAGACTGGCTAGGCCACTCCAGGACCTTGAAATGCTTCTTACGAAGCCACTCCTTCGTTGCCCGGGCGGTGTGTTTGGGATCATTGTCATGCTGAAAGACCCAGCCACGTTTCATCTTCAATGCCCTTGCTGATGGAAGGAGGTTTTTACTCAAAATCTCACGATACATGGCCCCATTCATTCTTTCCTTTACACGGATCAGTCGTCCTGGTCCCTTTGCAGAAAAACAGCCCCAAAGCATGATGTTTCCACCCCCATGCTTCACAGTAGGTATGGTGTTCTTTGGATGCAACTCAGCATTCTTTGTCCTCCAAACACGACGAGTTGAGTTTTTACCAAAAAGTTCTATTTTGGTTTCATCTGAGCATATGACATTCTCCCAATCCTCTTCTGGATCATCCAAATGCACTCTAGCAAACTTCAGACGGGCCTGGACATGTACTGGCTTAAGCAGGGGGACACGTCTGGCACTGCAGGATTTGAGTCCCTGACGGCGTAGTGTGTTACTGATGGTAGGCTTTGTTACTTTGGTCCCAGCTCTCTGCAGGTCATTCACTAGGTCCCCCCATGTGGTTCTGGGATTTTTGCTCACTGTTCTTGTGATCATTTTGACCCCACGGGGTGAGATCTTGCGTGGAGCCCCAGATCGAGGGAGATTATCAGTGGTCTTGTATGTCTTCCATTTCCTAATAATTGCTCCCACAGTTGATTTCTTCAAACCAAGCTGCTTACCTATTGCAGATTCAGTCTTCCCAGCCTGGTGCATGTCTACAATTTTGTTTCTGGTGTCCTTTGACAGCTCTTTGGTCTTGGCCATAGTGGAGTTTGGAGTGTGACTGTTTGAGGTTGTGGACAGGTGTCTTTTATACTGATAACAAGTTCAAACAGGTGCCATTAATACAGGTAACGAGTGGAGGACAGAGGAG